TTTTAACTAAATACGAATTAAAGTGGCCCGTGTGTATGTTATTAAACCATTTGATGGTTATCAACCCGTGCCCACTTGTTGTGCCGGTTTTCTTGGGTAGTTCAATTTCAGTCATTGTGGAGCCAATGTAGCAAACATTAAACATTTTGGAAGGTGGAGGAAGTCCAAACGTTTACCTCATATCCAAAATGGTTTTACTTAATTATAAGATTAATAGTTAAAAAAATAAATATTTTTATTTGGATCCCTGGTGGTTTCTACCACTTTAAGACGTTCACACACACTGTGCTGAATGTCTCTGTGTGTTTGAGCTGGAGGGGACAAAGGGCAGAGAAAACGTAGTTTTGGAAACAATTAGCAAATAGCACTGCTGCTCTGACTGCATCTAAGACTGGATTTGACGCCGTTACCAAGTTGTATAGTTTTGACTTTCAATTAGCACACACGGTGTGCGTCATAGCTGGGTTGCAAAAAAGAAAACAGACAAACATGACTGGAAGAGTTACAAGCAACACTGAGATCCCAGATTTTTATTGACGGCCCTTTTTTCTTTACCGTAAAACTTATATTTCAGCACATTTCATTTCTCTATGAGATCATTAAAACGAGCTCCATCCCTCAAGCCTCGTATATGAGGGTTTTGATCTCTTAAGAAAGCATTGAGTCAGAAGTAAAAAACCCATTATTTTACATTTTCCTTTTAAGTTTTTTGTGTTCAGATTATGGAAACGCTGTAAGACAGCGCTGTGTGCCTCAAACCATCATTGTTATGATTTTGCTGTTGTTGTACATCCATCCTCTTCCTGCATCTGTCTCAGACTGTCGCAGTGGATGTGTGTGGGAGGGGGAAGCGAGTTATTTTTTTGTGGCATCATTGCAGGCCTTAGCTCATAGTGCAGCTAAATGGGTGACTGTATAGCTGCTACCTCAATTAAGGGTGCTAATGTGCCGTAGCGTGTACGTTGCGAAGGTGTGAATGTGCTCATGTGTCAGTGCTGAGCCATCATTTGGAGCCTTCTGCGTATCCGGTCTTCAACACTCCAAGTGTCACACACATTCATCAGTTGTCATTATTAAACACAGAACAGAGGAGTGTTTTTATTTTTTTTATTTTTTTATGAGAATCGTAGAAAAGAAGACAAACGTATTACCCTCATTTTAACGCAGTTAAGATAAAATAGCTCTACTTGCTGTCTTTACCATAAATTTATGTAATAAAAAAAAAAAAAATAAAATAATTTAAAAAAAAACACGACAGAGGATTCACACACAGGGGCATACTCCTTTCAAGATTTTCTGCAGAGCTGTCTTCGACTTAATTGTAGTTGCTTGTAATAGCTGCGGGGTCTCCCTAAGAGGTTTGTCAAGGGAAATAAAGCACAACAGAGGAAGAATAAACTTCCTGCCTCCAAAGGAAACAGCTGTTGTCATGGCAAAGCTAATTAAAAATACCAGTTTGAAAAAGACAAAACACTAGCACGGGTTGAGAGGCTGCATTTATTAGCACAAACAGCACTCATGAGATAATAAATGGATACACAGTTTTACTAGACAGAGCTTCGTAGACAGTTAATGTATCAGTGTGTTACTATGTGAGGAGGGTGACTTTCTCAGTTTTACCATGTTCTTCCATTCCAGCATCTCTTCACAGGGCTATCTTTGAAGTGCAGGCCACTAAATCACTGCTGTCCTATTTTCTTAGCTTGTAATGAATAGCCTTTAATATCATTACCCTATAAAAGCCCACTCTCCTGCCAATTCTTAGTGCCGCTGAGCTGCATGCACACAAAGAAGTCACACCCAAACACGTTACATGCTGTGTATTTATAGCGTTATCACTTGAGTTGCTTAAAATATGAACATTTATGCAGAAATTTTCTATTTACTGTTTCTTGCAAATGTTTTCGCAGCCCTTGGACTTTTGACAATTTGCTGTGTTAACAACCGGCCAATCATTTTAAGTGTATTATTACACAGATTAGTGTGTAATTGTGCAGTGGAAGGGAAATGATACGTGAGCTCCAAACTTTTGTACAAATATAAATCGGAAAACTGTGGCGCCCAAACACATTCATTTAATCGACGCCTCTAAATAACATTCTACGCAGCAAACTGCATTCAAGTGACGTAATTCACAAAACGAGTTCAACTTTGCATAATTTATTTGCAATGCAAGTCCAGATGTAATTCGAAGTGAGAATTGACTGACAAAACTCTGGTGTTTGGTTACCAGATTACGTCCAGTTTGATTGATCTTGAGCTATTTTGCAAAGAATTAGTAAGAAAAATAATCAGTTTCTAAATTTACATATGTAGTAAACACAAACACAACATTACCACTACACATTATGACACACACACACACACACACACACACATAACTAAAAGTACAAAGTACGCTGATCGGCTTCAGAATTAGGACCAATAAGTTAGTCTGCGATATCAAATCCCAAAAGGTATGCATTAAAGTATGTGGGTCTGAAATGATGAAATGTCAAAATTGAAGGGGTATTACAAGGACTATAAAATAATGCATGGGTCTTAAAGATGATTCTAATGTGGCAAACAAAAATTATTGCAAAAAAAAAAAAGCTTAAATATTGCCTGTGAGTTAAGGTAAGAAAGTAAGAATGTGTGTGTTAGCACTTGTGGGTATGTGTAAAAACTATGCATATGGGTAGCTCTGCACATGTCCGGCCATAAGTTGGCAGCTTGCCTTATGCCGGTTTCCTTCTTTGGCTGTGAGTTAAAACGAAAGAGAAAAGCATTGAGTCCAGTCTTACTATCAATTCACTTAAGCCGTGGTCTCTGCCCTGCAGTTTTAATGCATAGGGTGGGTTACTGAGCCAAAATAATAGATTTATTTCACTCCCTTTGTCTTTACTCAGTTTACTTCATTAATTTTCTCATGTTTACGTTCAAATTTGTAGATTGGGATGCACACAAGTCAAACCTAATGACATTTTTTATTTTTATTTTTTTGCTTTATAATCTTGAACACGTGTAAGTTTGCTGTCTCTTTGGATAAACTTGAATCCATTCAGAGGATTAGTGATGGGAGATGGGAAGCTATTCCCGCTGCACAGCTCTGTTGTGTGGGGTTAAATGAATCGTCAATGAATGTGCAATGAGTGTTGGAACTGATTCACTCTCCGCTGTTTTACCTCCCTGTGTATGTGAGGCGAATCTGTTCAAGGGTTCTTATGCAGTGCGTCTACTTCACTTTAACACTGTTTTCGGTTGCAGGTGCCAGACTTAGTCATCAAAAACTGTGCGAGTCTTAGTCTTGTGAGTTGACGATTTGACGAATATGTCTCTTCTAATAAGTTGGTCAATATTGTTTTAAATCTTTATGGAAGCTTATTCATCTCCCCATCTTCTTACACATATTCAAGGTCGACTTTGGGTGGTTTTAATAAGTCCAGGATTAAAACGGGACATCCTTTATCCAGCGAGACTCTCCAGCTCATTCTGGGGGAACCCAAGTTGTTCCAGGGAAATAAGGGAAATGAGGCAACTCTACAGAGTTTTGTGTCTGGCTGAGTCTCATTTGGACCTCCAAACCACCGAATACTCATCCCAAGGAGGCATCCTGATAAGTCAATGGACAAGAACAATGGCTCTACTCCGAGAAAACAGAGTGCCTCACATTCTCGCTTAGGCAGAGCAGAGACACGTTATGGAGAACCTCATTTTAGTTCCTTGCATCCAGGAACCCTTTTTTTTTGGTCGTATGCACCATAGCCCATTAAACTGAGAGATTAGAGCTGACCACAGCACGTCCAGCATTATGCAGAGGAGGTCCAAGTCAACCTGCATCTTTTCCTCTCTATGATTTAATTCAGAATACATTAAGTTTAGAACCATGGCCTCAGAACTGGAGGATCTGACTCTTTTTGTTGATCTGGTGTTCCAAAGGTTTTAAAATTTTTCCTTAAAACTTTGATTGCTTTTTTGTTTATACTTGAGTACCTCAATATTTTTAGTTGTTTCACATGCCAGCTTCTGTCTTCATTAAACAAAAATAAACTCTGTGTAACTTTGTGACAGTGGCTGAGTTTGTGTTTACCACTTGTCCCTTAAATATATTTCTGATTCATTTAGTTCTTGTTACTCCTCTCGAGTTAAATCAAAGCTTAACGCAGTTCTTGGTTTTCAACAGCCATTTATTGTAGTCACGTCTTTCTAAGTCCCCAAAAAAATGCCGTCAGAACTACAAACAAAAGTAACAAAGTAACACAAACCCAAATCAGTTCACAATAAATGGCATCTTTACATAAACAAAAGATACAAATAAACAAAACTGTACCTCATTAGCTGCATTGACTCCAGAGGAATAAAGCTTAATTTCTTACAGCTTCTTCAGCTTGAATGCCCATGTGGCTCTAAGTGCGCCAGCCAATGCTTCCCTGGGCAACACATGGTCCGTGGAACAAAACAAAAGTTCCCTCTCCACATTTGAATATGCACTTAACATAAATTCTATAAAACTGCCTCACAGTTAAACTTAATGTTTTATATTAAATAAAATCTAACTACTGCCACCTTAAACCAAACAACAACAGCAAAAAAATAAATAAACCAGATGCAGTTGTTTTGACAGCAGCTACTGTCCTTCTGTTATTGGTCATGAAGCCTTAATTGAAACATTGATGTTGTAAATTTGGCTTACTCACTATCGCGAGTTGGTTGTGGCAGCATTATTTTACAGTTTACATCCATGCATATGGACACGTTTTTTTTTTTTTGTTTGTTTTGTTTTTTAAATGAATTTTAGTTCGACTGCAGTATATTTGTAAAGGACCAATTCACCACACGTCATCTCTAGGCATGTAAAAAAAAAAAAAAAAAAACTCATATGATTGCCAGATTTCCCAAGAGAAAGTTTCCTCATCTGTCTTGTAATATTTTAATTTATTGAAAAGAAGCTGAGGACGTTTTGTTTTCCTTCATTCGCTGAGATTCCTGATGTCGTTGTGCCGTCTCTCTTTCGGTTTCAGATTTCAGCGGGGGTACCATGACGAGTGAGGAGTGTCCTGTGCCGCTGAGGAGTATCTCCTCAGCACGGCCGGGGCAGAGCGAGGAATACGGCTCAGTGCACATAGATGACATCATTGAGGAAGTAGGTCCGGGCGACGACGACGACGTCAGCATCGGGAGCGACTTAAGCACGTTTGTGTTGCCCTTCCCCGAGTTGGCGCCCGTGGTCTTCTTCTGCCTCAAGCAGACGACCTGTCCTCGCAACTGGTGCATTCGCATGGTCTCCAGCCCATATCCTTTCCTTCCTTCATACGGCCCATTCAACCTGTAACGAAACATCTCCATATCTGCATTTGGCCTGTGTCGTTTATCAAGTCTGTCTGACACACCTTTCTTTTAAAATCGACTTTTGTTCCTGCTCTTATTTAATTTCTTTTTTCCTTTTAATGCATGTCTTTTCTCATTGATGTTCTGTTTCTCATACGTGTTCGTTGGTGTGCAGCATTTGGTCCGTCCTGACTTTGCCCCCACAAACGCATCCAATCAAAGCATTCTGTTTCATCTCGGTATTTGCAACCACATCACAGCTGTCATGCCCGGATCTTCTCAAAGTAAGTGTGTTTGACATCCTCATACAAGATCAACTGCAGCAGTCAGTGTTGCACTGCTTTGGAAAGTGCACATTTGGGTGTGTGCAGTTTTGTTTGTGTGTATGTGTGTGTGTGTGTGTTTGGGCTTTTAGGTAACGGATAAGAATAGGCAATTGTCTTTTTGCCGACGACATTAACCGTGCCAGTTGGATAATGATGACTCTCTCCACGGTAGAGGTAAAAAAAGAACACTGCAGCACCATCTATCTGTTTCAGTTTTTGACTCTAAATGCCTCAGAGATTTTGCATGAGTCAGTTCCTCCAGCTGATCTACTGTTTTATTTATTTTTTGCAAGAATTACAAAGAGACTTTTCTTGTTTTTTTTTAAGCAATCTTTGAGGATTTAGTAGTAACCTTTAAATATACTTTTGATTTCAGTAAATGTTTCCTTATTTTTTGTGAGTACAAGCATTAGAGCAGTGTTTACTACAGCCATAGGTGCCCTTAGAGAAAAATATTACTAAATCTGTTTTGTCTATGCCATTACACAAAACATAAGGTCTGCCAAATACTGATTCATAATTGTTGTCAGACATTATAGCTTTGCATGTGCCAGTTGCAGCTGTCTTTCTGTTTCCCTTTCAATTCTCAGCTGGCCTCAAAGACCCAGCACACAAATTGGAGCAAGCGGTGTAACAAATTTTTCTTCACATTGCTAATTCCTCTGTCACGTCAGCCCGGATCCTCACCGGTAGCTGGATACCCGCGATAGCTGAAGCAGCAGGTGTGTTAAAACACGTCTTTTGTTTCCTGTCTGAGTTTCAGGGGGTGTGTGAGGAAAAATACAAGAAGGCATTAGGAAGGCAGAGTGCGATGGAAGCGGTTTGAGGCAAGGTTGTTTCTTCTGGGGCTACAGAGGCTTTAAACCTACTGGAAGTCACGGGAATGTAGATGAGCGTAACCTCTGCCCTAGCCGCAGTGCCATCCACAGTTACTGTCGCTGTTTTTGAAACGACATAATCTCATACATGAAAATTTAGAAAAACAAAAACAACAAAAAAAAAAACATCTTTGAATTGAGTGAATTTATCGAATAATGACAGTCAGACATAACCCTAACCACACTTAGAATTGTACATGCAGAGAAACGTGAGATCCTCAAAGATAAAGATTGTATTGCCTAAAATCACACATTCGGCACATGTTGAAGCTCATCCATTAGTATTGGTCTTTGTGTGTAAGGTAGCAATATTCTCAGGTCTGTCTCTTATTTCTGTGTAAAAAAAATAGGCAGTAGTGTACATACTGTAAGGATTTATGAATAGACAGATCATTGGTTGGGCTTTTATGTACCAGCAAATTCTTAACGCCAGCCTTTTTTTTTTGTTAACTTGAAATACTTTGATTATGAAACCTTGCGGCTATGATGTGATTACAGATATCCTTTATTTCATTGCCATCAAATACTGTTTTGGTTGTGCTAGGTGAACTATATCCAATTGTGCGTGAAGGACAGCAATAAGTGGTTATTTCGGCATCTCTTTTGAGATCAATAATTGTGTCCACCACTCAGCAGCCGAGAGAGGCCTTCAGTCATGCACACAGCAACAAACGAACGCGCACACACACCCATGCATGCATCATTGTTCTCCCATGCTTCCCTGCAGCACAGCACCTGGAGCACCTCTCTGTATCGCACCCCACTCACATCCTATGCCTCCCTGGATTCTGACACTTTACATGTCATACGGTGGAGATATACCCAATTATTACATGTCTCACTTCATGAATATTTGTTAAATGCTGTTGATTGTTGGTAAGTTAGTTCTGCTTTCCAGTAAATTTCTTTTCAGTGTTTCTTAAATCTTTAGTCTGTGCACTGTGTATCATATAGAAACAAATGGAAGGACAAACCAAAAAAAAAAAAAATATTCATCTGATTTTGTGCAGAACTGCTTACAATGTCTAGGAACATTTTTTATTTTTTTACATTTCGGGAAAGATGTCATGGCTTCATGAGCCGGGAAGACTGTGGGGAGAACAACGACTTTGAAGATTAGTCAAACTTCTTCAAAGGAGACTAAAAATGTTGCAACGTTCATACATGGTTTTGTTTATCAGACCATTAAATGAAAAGGAATGCTTCCCTGTCTTGTGCTGTCTTGTTTGATTTTGTAACATGTGTCTTGGTTTCAAAGAGAAGACTATTTCCCATCAATAATTTAATTTACAACAATGACTGTCACTCATACTCCGGTACTCTTAAGCTAACACTGATCCTTCTTTTACAGCATCTCAACCTTTTTCAGCAGATACGCTTGTTAAAAATAAAATTAAAAAAACATTGAATTTTCAGCAGTTTTGTATTTGTGATTTTAATTTTAAATTCATATTTATAAAAAAAAAATTGTATTGTATAATTAAAATCTGCAAGTCTATTGCAAATTAATTTAATTATTCATCCAAATGAACAGTGTGTTGTTGTTTTTTTTTCCAATATCCTGTGGTTGACATTACCTGTTCAATAGTCCTCTTTTGTAAGAATAGAGTGGTTGCATTTCGGGGAAAATTTAAGCCTCGATGTAGACAATGATTTGCAGTGTGTGGCATCTGAGACAGGGGAAGATTTGAGACATTTGGATGAGTTGTACAGAAGCATATTGTTGATTGATTCCTGGCTCCGGGCGCTTCATTTACCCTTTCCTCTTCGGAAAATCATCAAATGTGATTTTCTTTGCTATATATATATATATATATATATATATATATATATATATTTTTTTTTTTATCATAATAATTAGCATCATTCAATCAGTCACACTTGCCTTGCCCATAAGGCTTTTATTTTACTTCAGTCAGTGCTTTGCTTGGGATTTCTGGTGCTGCTGGACGCTGCCTCTTTCTGCATTGCCTCACCTTTTCCTCTCCTCCGTTGATTTGCTCTTGTGGTGTTCAAGCAGAGTGACCAGTGTCAGTGGCCCATGATCCTCTCCCTCTCTGGAAGCTTATTATCTGCTTGGTGACTGATAACTGAGGCGTTGCCGTGCCTTACTCTTGACAGTCACTGGGGATGGATCTCACACCTGCGACACATCACCTATCTTCTTTGTTTTTCTTATTAATTTAATTTATTTGAAGTTTCCCATCTTTTTTTGTGTGTGTGTGTGTGTCCACTTGGAAAAGCTGCTCTTTGGCAACAGAAGGTACGCTAACAGTGCTTTATTTTGCTGTAAGGCCTTATGTTGGGTGCTTTAACTGAAGAAAAGCATGCTTTTTTAGCAGACGTTTTATTAAAAACATCAAAAGTCTGTCTTTATTTCACAGCGAGAGTCTTCCGTTCTCTAATCTCATGCTTGTTTTCTTGTCAGCTTTTTGGCGCTTTGTCCTACACGCTTCAATTTTGCGTCACTCAAAAGTTTTGTCACGTTTTCTTTTAAACAAATCTCTTTCCCTCTCGCTTAAGATTATGCCTAGTTCCACATTTTTTTAGTTATGCCTCCATGTTGTGCAATAATGCAAGTGTTCCACTTATTTTAATGAGTCTCTGCTTCAAAAAAAAAAAAAAGAGCTGTTGACATTTTACCTCAGGGAACATCTTCTGTTTTTTTTGTTTTTTTTTAATAAATAAATAAAACGGTGTAAACATTAATGAGACAAACCTCGCTTAAAATAAATACAACTCATTAGAATACTAAAGCTTGCGCTTGAAAAATAAATCCCAGTGCTAATGCTAGCATTTGTTCTAAAACTAATTCTAATGATCTCCTTCCCCTCTTTAGTCTTCTGCGCTGCTCCTTCCTCCCTTTGCCTCGTTCCACTCCCTCAGGTTTTGCACAAACCCCATTAGTTCTCTGTGGTCTGAAGGAGATAAATGGGAAACAGTGTAGAAACGATGAAGAGCTTATAGTGACTCTAATGACAACTGTAGACTGCATGTACTCTCTGAAAGTTCAGCCACACACACACATACACACACACACACTATTCCTCCACCGCTGTAATCTGGGACCCAACGTGGACTTTTTGATACCTTTAAGTTCATAAAAGAAAAAAAAATAAATAAATAAATAAATAAAAAATTCCCTTCTCACCCTCCGCGGGTGGTCTCTTTCATCCTCTGAGCTCGGGTCCTCTACCAGAGGCCTGGGAGCTTTCATCCTCTGAGCTCGGGTCCTCTACCAGAGGCCTGGGAGCTTGAGGGTTCCTCCAGTATCTTGGCTGTGCCTAGAACTGCACATTTCTGGACTGAGATGTCTGATGTTGTTCCTGGGATCTGTTTGAGCCACTGCTCCAGTTTGGGGGTGACTGCCCCGAGGGCCCCGATGACCACAGGCATCACTGTGGTCTTCACCTTCCAGGCCTTCTCCAGTTCCTCTCTGAGGCCCTGGTATTTCTCCAGTTTCTAAAAAGAATAGCAGAGATATTTTTAGTATTGGTTCCACTTGTGGG